TAAGGTTTCCAATGTCTTCGGATCTTTTCTGTGTGATGTATGGGCGCGAGTGCAAGTACGGAGCTCCTTACTTCTCCGCCATCTTGCCCTCTCCAAAAATTGGATAAATTTCTAAAAACATATAAACTACAAAAACTTAAGCAGGAAGAAATTGAAAATTTGAACAGACTGATAATTAGCAAGGAAATTGACTCATTAATCAAAAGATTCTTGACAAATGGGTTCACAGGTGAATTCTACTAAATATGTAAAGAGTTAATACCTGTTCTTTTCAAGATATTCCAAATTACAGGAGGAAGGAAAATATTCAAATTCCTTCAATGAGGCCAACATTACCCTTACTCTGATACCAAAACCAGATAAACACACACACACACACACACACAAAACTGCAGAGTGGTATCTCTGATGAACATAGATAAAAAAAAAAAAAAAAACTAAAAAAATAGTAGCAAATCTAATCCAACAGTATATTAAAAAAATATATTCTCCACAAGCAAGCAGGATTGTTTCCCCAGGATGCAAGTGTTGTTCAATATTCACACATCAATCAACATGATATAACACATCAATAAGAGAAAGGATAAAAACCATATTTTCAATAAATGAAGAAAAAATATTTGACAAAATACAATAATCATCCATGATAATAGCCCTAAACAAACTAGATTTAGAGGGAACATACCTCAACATAGTAAAAGCCACATATAAAAAACCCACAGCGAACATCATACTCAATGGTAAAAATACTAAGAGCTTTTCCCCTAATGTCAGGAACAGGACAAGGATATCCACTTCCACCATTTTTATTCAACATAGTACTGGAGGCCCTAGCCACAGCAATCAGACAACAAAAAGAAATAAAAGGAATCCACATCAGCAAGGAAGATATAAGACTTTCACTATTTTCAAATGATATGATACTCTATATAGAAAACTCTAAAGACTCCACCAATTATATATACATATATATGTGTGTATATATATATATATATGTATACAGTATACATATATACACAGTATACATATATATATCTATATATACTGATAAATCAATTAAATAGAATCACAGGATACAAAATCAACATACAGATATCTATTGAATATCTATACACTAATAATGAAGCCGCAAAAATAAAAATTAAGGAAAAAACCCAATTACAATGGCACAAAATACAATAAGATACCTAGGAATAAACCTAAGCAAAGTAGTGAAAGACCTGTATTCTGAAGACTATAAAACATTGATGAAAGGAATTGAAAATGACATAAAGAAATGGAAAGATATTCCATGCTCATGGATAGGAAGAGCAAACATTATTAAAATGTCTATATTACCCAAACCAATCTACACATTTAATGAAATCCCTATCAAAATGCCATTAGCATTTTTCACAGAACTAGAACAAACAATCCTAAAATTTGTATTGAACCACAAAAGATCCTGAATAGCCAAAGCAATCTTGAAAAACAAAAGCAAAACTGAAGGCATCACAATTCCAGGCTACAAGTTATATTACAAAGGTGTAGTGACCAAATCAGTATGATACTGACACAAAAATAGACACATAGGTCAGTAGAACAAAATAGAAAACCCAGAAATAAACCCACAATTATATTGGTAATTAATCTTCAACAAACTAGGAAAGAATATCCCATGGGAAAAAGTCATTTTAACAAAAGGTTTTGTGTAAACTGGACAGCTATATGCACATGTGAAACTGGACCTCTTTCTTTTCCCATACTCAAAAATAAATTCAAAATGGATTAAAGACCTAAATGTGAGACCTGAAACCATAAAAATCCTGGAGGAGAGCACAGGCAGTAATGTCTCTGACCTTGGTCATAGCAACATTTTTTCTGGATATATATCTTCAGGCAAATGAAATAAAGGCAAAAATAGACTGTTGAGACTACATCAAAACAAAAAGTTTCTGCACAGTGAAAGAAACAGTAAATAAAACGAAAACGCAACCTTCTGAATGGGGGAAGATATTTACAAATGACACGTCCAATAAAGGGTTAGTATCCAAAATATATAAAGAACTGATACAGTTCAACACTCCCCAAAAAACAAATAATCCAATTTAAAAAATGGGCAAAATATATGAACAGAAATTTCTCCATAGAAGACAGATAAATGGCCAACAGACACAGGAAAAGACACATAACTCATCATTAGAGAAATGCAAATCAAAACCACAATCAGTTATCTATCACCTCACCCCTGTCAAAATGTCTGAAAGGACAAACACAAGAAACAAATGTTGGTGAAGATTTGGAGAAAAAGAAACCCTCTTGCACTGCTGGTGAGAATGCAAACTGGTGCAGCTACTGGGGAAAATGATTCCTCAAAAATATATAAGTAGAATTACCCAATGATCCCATAATCGCACTACTGAATATTTACCTCAAAATACAAAAGTGCTAATTCAAAAGGATACATGCACCCTCTATGTTTATTCCATTATGGTATACAATAGACAAATTATGGAAGCAGCCAAAATATGCTATAATAGATAAGTGTACAAAGAAGATGTAGTATATATACATAATTGAACATTATGCAGCCATAAAAAAGAATTAAGTCTTGTCATTTGCAAGGATATGGATGCAGATAGAAAGTATTATGCTAAGCAAACTATGTCAGACAGTGAAAGACAAATACCATATGATTTCACTCATACGTGGAATTTTAGAAACAATTGTGCAAAGGAAAAAAAAGAGAAAGACCAAGAAACAGACTCTTGACTATAAAGAACAAACTGATGGTTATCAGACGGGAGGTGGAGGGGAGGTGGAGGGGATGGGTGCTATAGGTGATGGGGATTAAGGAATGCACTTGTGATAAGCACTGGGTGATGTATGGAATTGTTGAATAACTATATTGTACACCTGAAACTAATATGACACTGTTAAATACACTGGGATCAAAATAAAAAGCTAATTTAAAAAGGAACTGGAAAAAAATGCTAGCAAGTATATATATAAAATATTATATATTATATAAATATATATATTATATAAATATAATATATAATATATATAGTTAGTATAATAACTATTATAATATAGTATATATATACTATATATAGTATGTATAGTATGTATACTATATATAATACTATATATAATATAGTATACATAACTATTATAGTATAATATATATTATATTATATTATATTATATTATATTATATTATATTATATTTATATTATATACATAGAATTATTCTGCTATGAGGAAGAACTAAAACCACTTAGAAACTATAATAATTATGGACTTTTTAATTTAAAAAATACAAACATAAAAATTAAAGATAAATTTATTTTTTAAATGTTTTATTTATTTCTAGGAGAGAGAGAAAGACAGCGTGAGCAGGGGAGGCCCAGAGAAAGAGGGAGTCACAGACTGAAACAGGCTCCAGGCTCTGAGCTGGCAGTCAGCACAGAGCCCGACGCAAGGTTCAGCCCACGAACCGCGAGATCATGACCTAAGCGAAAGTCGGACGCTTAACCGACTAAGCCACCCTGGTGCCCCTAAAGATAAATTTTAAAGCAAGAAGAGGATATAATCTTGAGTCATTTGGAAAGATTTTCTATGAGGCTGAAGCTATGAAAAGCTTGTAGATAATCAGAAAGCACAGCTTCCCACTACTCAGTTTTGATTTACCTGCACTTTAGGTTACTGATATGCTTTAGCTAACCTTACTCCTGCATCATTAGATGTGGGAGTTTTCTTTGGAAAAATAAAAAAAAATAGGTTGATGCATGTATTTGTAAACTGAAAGTTATTCAATCTATTTGTGACACATCATTAACAACAACATAATAAAGAAGAAAAACTACATATCTTCTGTGAAACCACAAATCTAGATCCGTGTCTGAATTCATTTCTGCTAGTTCATAAACACTGAATTCTGTTTAATTTGAAAAATAAAAACAAAATCTTTTGTTCAACAGTATAGTTTCTTTGTCCTTTGGGTTCTAGATTAAGAAGAAACAGCAGGATGTGCTTGGTTTTCTAGAAGCTAACAACATAGGATTTGAAGAAAAAGACATTGCAGCCAGTGAAGAGAATCGGAAGTGGATGAGAGAAAATGTACCTGAAAACAATCGACCAGCCACAGGGTACCCCCTGCCACCTCAGATTTTCAATGAAAGCCAGTACCGTGGGGTAAGAAACCAATTTAAACTCTTGTTTTATCAAATGGATCGACTACATCCATCCTATCTCCTTCACCTCACCCCCAAATTTGCATACAGCCATTTCTCATGTTCATCTCTTTATACATCCTAGGCAACTAGGATATTTCTTTTTTTCTTTTCTTTTCTTTATTTTTTTTTACAAATAGTTTATTGTCAAGTTGGTTTCCATATAACACCCAGTGCTCATCCCCACAAGTGCCCTCCTCCATGCCCATCTCCCCCTCACATCCCACATCCATCAGTCTTCAGTTTGTTCTCAGCATTCAAGAGTCTCTCATGGTTTGCCTCTCTCCCTCTCCCTCACTATTTCCCCCCTTCTTCTCCCCAGTGGTCCTCCGTTAAGTTCCTCCTAATCCTCCTATATCTGCAAACATATTGTATTTGTCCTTCTCTGCCTGACTTATTTCGCTCAGCATAACACCCTCAAGGTCCATCCATGTTGCTACACATGGCCACATTTCATTCTTTCTCATTGCCATGCAGTATTCCATCGTACAGATAAACCACATCTTCTTGATCCATTCGTCCGTTGATGGACACTTAGGCTCTTTCCATGTTTTGGCTATTGCTGAGAGTGCTGCTATGAACATTGGGGTACATGTGCTCCTATGCATCAGCATTCCTATATCCCTTGGGTAAATTCCTAGCAGTGCTATTGCTGGGTTATGGGGGAGTTCTATTGTTAACTTTTTGAGGAACCTCCACACTGTTTTCCAGAGGGGCTGCACCAGTTTCCATTCCCACCAACAGTGTAGGAGGGTGCCCGTTTCTCGACATCCTCGGCAGCATCTAGAGTCCTCTGATTTGCTCATTGTAGCCACTCTGGCGTGAGGTGGTATCTCAGTGTGGTTTTGATTTGTATTTCCCTGATGAGGAGGGATGCTGAGCATCGTTTCATGTGTCTGTTGGCCATCTGGATGTCCTTTTTGGAGAAGTGTCTGTTCATATCTTCTGCCCATTTCTTTACTGGGTTGTTTGTTTTTCTGTTGTGGAATTTGGTGAGTTCCTTATAGATTTTGGATATTAACCTTTTATCTGATATGTCATTTGCAACTATCTTTTCCCATTCCGTCGGTTGTCTATTACTTTTATGGATTGTCTCCTTTGCCTTGCAGAAGCTTTTCATCTTGATGAGGTCCCAACAGTTTATTTTTGCTCTTGATTCTTTTGCTTTTGGGGATTTGTCAACTGAGAAATTGCTGCGGTGGAGGTCAAGGAGTTTGCTTGCAGCTAGGATATTTCTACTAGGAAGCAAATGGATGAGTAATCCACCCCCACCCCAAGACTTTCTTGTAAATGCATAAATACAGACTTTGGACATATAGTTGCTTTTCCATTTTTTAAAAAAATATTTTATTTTTAAATAATGTCTACACCCAACCTGTGCCTCAGACTCACAACCCTGAGATCAAAAGTTGCATGCTATACTGACTGAGGCAGGAAGGTGTCCTGCCTTTCCATTTCTTCATCTTAATTCTATATGGAGCAATTATATTGTTTCTGCCGTGTCCATGAAGAAGCTCCTGAAAGAAGTCAGATGTTTTACTTATTTAGATTAAAAGTAGATAAAAAAGAGTAATATCTTATTTCCTACCTGAAGCGAGTAATACTTTTACTTTGATATTATTTAAAATCATTGTTGTTGTTTTCTTTTTAATTTAAGAGAGAGAGCAGGGGAAGGATAGAGACAGAGGGAGAGAAAGAATCCCAAGCAAGTTCTGCACTGTCAGCACAGAGCTGGATGCAGGACTCGATCTCACAAACTGTGAAATCATGACCTGAGCCGAAATCAAGAGTTGGAAGCTCAGCTGACTGAGCCACTGAGGGGCCCCTTATTTTGATATTATTAATGAATTTTCATAAAATATTAAGTAAACTATTTGAACTCATATAAGTAACAAGGGAAACAAAAGTTGAGTTTTTGCTTTGTGACTGGTGTTTTCAACTATGCAATCTTTAGTTCATTTAAACGATAAAGTAGTTTTCGTTATTATTTTTTAAGTAACATTTGCAACCTCTGGCAATTTTAGATACTATAGCAAGTACAAGTATAAATAAAACAGTCTTTTCTCTTAAGGAGACGGTTGGAAGTGAGATGGAGGAAGAATCACACACATCTGAAACAATAGGACTGTGGTTATAAATACGTATCCATGTGATGATACAGTACAGAAAGTATATGTGATGGCTATAAGGATTTCTAGTAAAGAATTGTTTGCACTGCTATATCCTCAGAATTAGTATGATTGAGGTACAAATGTATTAGAGCCAGCAATCCAAATCTTCTACTTAATAGGTTTATATGGAAGTAAGGACACTTTTGGGTGGGGATCTTTTTTATGTGCCAATTCAGAAAATCTAGGGAAGGAAGCATGGAAAATTGAGAACTTTATTGGCATAACATATTTTCTCTGTGAATCGAATTTGAGGAGGGTCCGGAATATTTCATCTGTTACTGCTAATGGGGTCAACGTGTAAAGACATACTCTGAAGATAAGCCAAAGGCACTTAGGCTATTCATTTAGATAATGAAACCTCAGTGCCTCTATAATTGAAATTTCTGCAAATTATTGAATCCTAGGAGCTGGAAGAGACCTCAGAGGCCATCCATTCCAATCTAAGCCAGCATATTGTCTTAACTTTTTTGAATCAGAAATTTTAATTCATTTGACTTTGAAAACGAACACCTTTTACGTTATATGGATAACATTTGAGAACATTTGAGAATGTTGAATTGAGAATAGGAATAAGGTATCACTGAGAAATAGGATGAAAAGGACGGGGCAGGAGGTGAGACTCGATAAAATAAATATTTGTTAATGTAAAAAGAATCTAACTTTTATTAAATGCCTGCTGTATACCAGATACTAAGTTAGGAGTTTATTTTTAATGATTTTTTTAAATTTTTTTAAATGTTTGTTTATTTTTGAGAGATGGAGAGACAGACCACGAGCAGGGGAGGGGCAGAGAGAGGGAGACACAGAATCCGAAACAAGCTCCAGGCTCTGAGCTGTCAGCACAGAGCCTGACGCGGAGCTCGAACTCATGAACTGTGAGATCATGACCTGAGCCAAAGTTGGATGCTTAACCGACTGAGCCACCCAGGGGCCCCGTAAGTTAGAAGTTTAATAACAATAAGAATTAAGATTTACCCCTATACAGACTCATAGGGAGAAGAATATATAGTAACCATTCATAGAAAACATACGTATGATATGTCAGGATTGTGCTACATGCTTTATGTGTATTAGATTAGTTAGGTCTCATACTAATCCCATGAGGTAGGTATTGTTATTCCTGTATTATAGATGAAGAAATTGAGGCTTTGAAGAAAGTTAACTGACTTGCAAAACGATACAGCTAGGATTTAAACCTAAATTTGTTTTATTCATAAGCTCTTACTTTTTCTGTTGAAACACTGTGTATTTCATTTTCCTATTTATGAAAGATTCCATCTTCATTCTTTTTTTCCTCTCCATTCTGTATTATGAGGGAGGCTGACCTGAGTAAATTACATTTCCCAATCTCCATTGCTGATTGGCTACCTATTAGGTTTGGCCAATAATTGGAGATATTTGTTGGAAGAGTGGAAGACAGAGGGAGGAAAAGCCAAGATATTCCTCTCCTTCCTGCTTCTGGAAGTGTCCATGAAAGTGTCTATGTCTCCTTTGTGATACCACATGTCTCAGATCCTGGGTTTTGTAATATCATCTTCTCTGCTTTTTCCTTTAACCTGTAGCTGTGGTAGCAGCTTCTTGCTGTCGTTAATCCTTAGGTTGCCTTATCATTTCCTGTTTGCCTTTCATCAGTTGCTTTGCAAATAAGTCCTTCATATTAAATTCCATTGCTTAAAATGTCTCAAGGTTTCAGGACATCTAGGTGGCTCAGTCTGTTAAGCACCCAACTTCAGCTCAGGTCATGATCTCATTGTTCATGAGTTCGAGCCCCACGTTGGGCTCTGTGCTAATAACTCAGAGCCTGGAGCCTGCTTTGGATTCTGTGTCTCCTCTCTCTGCCTTCCCTGCTCATGGTTTTTCCTCTCTCTCTCTCTCTCTCTCCCTCAAAAATAAATAAACATTAAAAAATATCTCAAAGTTTCTCAACCTTGGCACAACTGACATATTGGGATGGACAAATCTTTATTGTGGAGGGCTTCCCTATGCACTGTAGGAAGTTTAACAGAATTCCCGGCTTCTGAGCGCCAGTAGCACCCTCCCAGTTGTGAAAAACCAAAAATACCTCCAGACTTTGCCAGATGTCCCTAGGGAGAAAATTACACCCTGTTGAAAATCAATGATCTATGGCTTATGTTCTTATTTCCAGACTGGAATGTGACTGAAACAATTACCCTACCACATAGATGAGACACTATTATAGAAGGTACAATATTTATAAGAATAATCTTGGTTCTGAAAGAGCTTCTGCTATGTATATGAAGAACTGAAGCCTTTTGATGAAATAATAATTAATGTGATATCAGTATATGATAGAATACATTCTGGATTAATGTTATTGGAATCCCAGAGGTGTAAACAAAATATCTGTGTTTTTCCTCAAATGAATTTCTATAGAAGAAGCAGACTATGTCACAATCTCTTTTTTTTGCTCTTTGTAAATATTTTAAATTTGCCTTCCCTAGGGTTGAGCTATGTATAGATATGAAGATCTTAATAATTTGTTTATTCTTGGGGCACCTGGGTGTCTCAGTCAGTTGAGCGGCCAACTTTGGCTGAGGTCATGATCTCATGGTTCATGAGTTCGAGCCCCACATTGGGCTTACTGCTGTCAGCACAGGGCCTGCTTTGGATCTTCTGTCCCCCTCTTTCTCTGCTCCTCCCCTGCTCGCTCTCTTTCTCTCTCTCTCTCAAATAAATAAAACATTAAAATTAATTTAAAAATATTTTGTTTACCTTGTAATCTTAGCACCAAAAAACTGGCATGTAGTAGGTGCTCAATACTTATTTACAGAACAGATTAATTGATCTGGCTTTATTAAGAAACTGGTGATGTACTTTTGTCTCAGAGTTAAAAACCTGTTTGTGCTTGCTACGTCCAGGGCCAAAAATAGATAAGATACTTTGATCCAGGGCACCTGGACGGCTCAGTCTATTAAGCGTCCAAATCTTGATTTTGGCTCAGGTCATGATCTCACGGTTTGTGGAATCAAGCTCGGCATTGTACTCCGTGCTGACAGTGTGGAGTCTGCTTGAGATTTTCTCTCCCTCTCTCTCTGTCCCTACCCCCTCAAAAGAAATAAACATTTACATATATATATATATATATATATATATATATATACATACTTTGATCCCAAAATACTTCAACTAGAGTTTCATTTTATGATCAGATTTCAATATAGTTGACCTATTTTCTTTCACATGAACTTAAGAACTGACATGAATTTTTTTTGTTACTTTGAACAAAAGGTAAGAAATACCTCTTCTATGATTGTTGGACTCTTTCAACTAATATTTTTAGTTTACTTCCAAGTGCTTGGGTTTAGAAATGATGTATGTTGCTTGTATATTGTTTATCTTGAGTAGTTTAAAGGTCATGTGTCTCAGTATGAAATTGTTATCCATATCCAATTAGTTTCACTTTCGAACAGTGAGCTCAAAGAGTGAGCTCATAGGAGGCTGTTCATATGTGCTTACTGTGTAGTAGGGTTTATTCCTTTGTCAGCATTTAGGGTACATGATAAGATGCTTTCAGTCAATCCTTGGGAAATTCCAGTAGGGTTAAACAATTCTGACTGTGTTAAAAGAATTCCTAAATAAGAGAGAGAAACTCTGATGTTTTTTGGCATGAGGATCCAATTTACGGTCATCCATGGCTTGAGATATCCTCCAAGTACCAAGAACTCTACATATATCTAAACCTTATATCTCCAGATCCTCCAAGTACCAGGAATTACTCATACACATACAGAACACTGTAATTGATAATCTTTTGGTGAGGAAGTCTCTAGAAAAATCAAGAAATTATGAGTGCTTTTCACCTCCAATAAATCAGCCAAAATGCCAGGCTTATTTCTATGTGTTTTAAATTAAACAAAGTAAGGCCAGGTATAGACAATGGCTGTTTTCTAAGTAGATTTGCTATTGATATGTCATAGTCAAATTTAGGCAATTCTATTTGTTACTTTTTTAAAAAAATAATGTTTTATTTATTTCTGAGAGAGAGAGAGAGAGAGAGCGAGCGTGAGCAGGGGAGGGTCAGAGAGAGAGGGAGACACAGAATCTGAAACAGGCTCCAGGCTCCAAGCTAGCTGTCAGCACAGAGCCCGACACAGGGCTGGAACCTACGAACCTTGAGATCATGACCTGAGCCGAAGTCAGACACTTAACCAACTGAGCCACTCAGGTGCCCCTATTTGTTACTTCTAAAGCATGCTTGGTGGCTTAGAAGATGACAGTAGGAAGCCCAAACAAACTCAGTCATCTGATCCTTTTCATGGATCCCTGAAAGGAAACTTTTTAGTGGTTCGTTTGTTCTTCTGGTCATATTTTATGAAAATCTCATTCCCTTCCTCCAAAAACAGCACAGATTTATTACTCTTATGATACTGGGCATATCTTGCTAAAATCTGTTCTACTCTAGGTTATGAGGATAACTCTATCTTAATAAATAATAAAAGAGAAATAATGGGGAATGGAAGTAATAGCCTCCTACGAGAAATAAGCAACTTCTCACTGGCAAATAGTTGGCTACTTTAGCTGTGGAGAAAGCTACTTGGCCTGAGGCAGATTTAAAGCCTGTGTTATATGGAATAAGCTATTTTGCAGTTTCTGCCCCACAAAATAGCATATATTCTAACCCACATTAAATGGGATCTAATATGCCTTGCCTCTTTACTACTTTTCCCAGAATCCTAGCATTATGGAAATTAGATAGCCTATATTCCACCACACCCCCCACCAAAGAAGGTTCACCAATCAGTTAGTTTTGAATAAATTTGCTGGTTACATATTACTTATTTTCCTTTCCTTCTTTTCATTAAGGACTATGATGCCTTCTTTGAAGCCAGAGAAAATAATGCTGTGTATGCCTTTTTAGGCTTGACAGCCCCACCTGGTTCAAAGGTATGATTCCTTTTCTTCCTTGCTTTATTAGTCATTTTATTACTGCTGGATTTTTTAGTCAGTGAGATTTCCACGTTTACTATGTATTCAGGTTAAGCTAGAGGCAGTGTAACATAGCTGATAGGAAATGTTCCTTCTCTGCATGCATTTAATTCCTGGTAGGGCAGACAGATGTGCATAATCAAATACATAAAGTATGTGAGTGGGAGGTAGGTAGAGTGACTTCCCCATCAAGTTACCCAAAGCAGTAAATTTCTCATTGTCCCATTCATAAATAAATGGTTACGAATTTTAAAGACACCATTATTTCAGCTATCATGCATGGTTTTACATAAACAGAGCACATCTTAGTTCATAGTAATCTTCTTGGCAGCATCTGTTGTCATTGTGTGAGAGTAAATGCTAGAGTCGTCCATTCAAATTAACTAAGAGCATTTGAGTTTCTAAATGGGTCACTAAATTGCTGGCTAAATTTGGGGGTTTCTCCCTGCCAGAAACAAGTAATTTTTCAAATGGTAGTATTTCCAGGGGAGATCAAATTAAGAAAAGAATCAAAAATTAAATTGCCTTTTTAATGAAATATCTCAAAGCTATGGGCTTTAAATATACCTTTGCTTTTTACCATAGGTCTTTTCTTTTTTTTAATATTTTTAAATGTTTTTTTTTATTTTTGAGAGACAGAGCATGAGAGGGAGAGGCAGAAAGAGAAGGGGGACAGAGGATCAGAAGCAGGTTCTGCACTGACAGCAGCAAGCCTGATGTGGGGTTCAAACTCATGAACCACAAGATCATGACCTGAGCTGAAGTTAATTGCTCAATCGACTGAGCTACCCAAGCACCTCATGCTTTTTACAATAAGTCTTTTCTACACAGGCTGGCCCTTGTTCTGTAATTTTATGTTTTGTTCTTAGCAACTAATTTTATAGTAAGTGGATTCTGTGAACTCTAGCTCCTTCTCCAATTTTGAGAATCTGTTATTACTTGTTTTCAACTAGAGACAATTTTCTAACATTGTTGTCTGACTCACTGTGAAATTCTATTTCCTTGCTGATATTCTTTTCTCATGAGTAAAATGTCTTATTTTAGGCTTTGTATAATTTAAGTTGAAAGAAATGTTAGAGGAGACATTTTTGTTTAATCAAGCTAATAAACCCAAGTTATATCATTGATTTCATTTCAGGTAAGAGGAAGTATGAAAGGAAGGATAATCTGCTTTCTGTGACTGATTAGTCCTTCTTAGTTAAAAGTAGGAATCATTCATTCATTTATTCATTAGGCCAGTTATTAGTGTCAAACACTAATTTGACATTGATGGTGAGACAAATATGGCAAATACAGCATAGTCACTGCCTTAAAAATGTTTTTAATCTAGTGAAGGAAAAGTATACAAATAATTACACAACAAATATGACTACAAATAATTATAATCCAACACATATTACAGTAATTTCTGTATGCTATGAAAAAGGTGCCATAAGCACCCAGAGAAAATAATAATAAAATATTATTAAGGAATTTGGAGAAAGTTTCACAGAGGAAGTGGCATTTGAGCTGTTAGGGATTTAAAAATACTGAAATGGCACTAAGGCGTCTTTCACAGAGGCAGAACAAGAACCACTGCATGTAGCTTCACATGATGGTATGTTCAGGGAGCAGAGTGTAGTGCTGCATGTCTCTATAATAAGGCATATTTAATAGAGGATGTGAGATTAGCCAAGTAGGTTTGGACTAAATTATGAATGCAGTGTTAGGTACTTTTGGCTTCATCCTCTAGGTATCTAAAAGCCATGGTAGGAAAAGGGGGAAGACAGTGATAAGATTATATCTGTATTTTAGGATGTGATTTGATCTGTGTCTTAAGAGAATAAATTTGAAAGTTGTGTGGATTATAAAACATTGGAGAAATGAGATTTTAGAGATAGGCATACCCATTAGAGGGTAACTTAGAAGTCCAGAAAACTAATGAAGAGGGCCTAAAGTGGTACTGTAGCCATGGAAAAGAAAAGATTAATTTAGGAGATATAGAAAACTCATGTATGATAAGATGTAGCAGTTTATGAGATGCTTGTGTATGTAAATAACTAGGAAGAAGTGAAGCTATATACAGGGCTTCTATCCTAGCAATCAGGAAATAAAACAAACATCATGTAGGAAACAAAAAAGTGAGGATCCAGGGGAGGAATTAGTCTTGAAAAGGAGAGGACATGCTGTTTTTTTCTGAGACTGGAGCGAATAAGGAGAGAAGGATAAAAATAGAAATTTTATACTGCAAGGAGATTAGAGAAGTTCACATTAGAAAATGTCTTATCTTTAATGTAAGGTCATCTGCTAGGTGTAATGGGAAATTAAACGTATTAGAACTTTGAGGAGGATTGAAAACAATCCGGTTGTTGAAAATAGGCTAAAGAGTAAGTTAAGATTGTGAATGGAAGTATGGCTGAGCAAAATAGAGGGTCCATCTAGAGTTGATGAGTTCATAGTGGAGCTTGTCAGCTTATAGTTTTTTTTTTCCATCTTTATTTAAGCCTAGGAGTAGGAATAAAGTAAAACAACAGTACATGTTTGCAAGGAGAGAGTTGATAGATTGGGGTAATAAGAAGAGATCTGGAAATAACAGTGGAGTTAAGGGAGGATTGGTAATAAGAAGAGATCTGGAATTCATTTATTCATTCATTTATTTATTTATTTATTTCTACATACTTGAGTACATAGTTGACACACAATGTTACATTAGTTTCAGGTGTACAACATAGTGATTCAACTTCTGTATAAATTATGGTAAGCCCACAAGTGTAGCTATCATCTGTCACCATGCAACATTATTACAATATTTCCTATGTTCTGTATGCTATGTCTTTTATTTGGTGATAGGACAGTTTTGACTGTTAGTATTTAATAGGTTTTTCTCCAAGACTAAAAGTGAAAATTTGATATCAGAATGATGATTTTTCTATTCTTCAGGTCAACTTTCAGAGTATTTTCCCCCCTTTAATTTAACAGGATAATAAGCCTTCTAGAAAGAACTGAAAATGGAAAGTATACAAAATAAGAGGTGACTGTAGCTTAGTCAGTTAAACATCCAGGTCTTGATTTCAGCTCAGGCCATGATATCATGGTGGTGAGAGCCCACATTGGGCTCTTTGCTGATCATGGAGCCTGCGTAAGATTCTCTCTCTTTCTCACCTTCTGCCCCTCCCATGCTCATGCTCATACACACTCTCTCAGAAAAAGAGAGTATACAAATCAAGAAATACAACTAGTTAGGGGGTGCCTGGGTGGCTCAGTTGGTTAAGTGTCCAAGCTCAGGTCATGATCTCAGGGTCTGTGGGTTCGAGCCCTGTACTGGGCTCTGTGTTAACAGCTCAGAGCCTGGAGCCTGCTTCGAATTCTGTGTCTCCCTGTCTCTGTTTCTCTCTCTCTCTCAAAAATAAACATTTAAAAATTTAAAAAAAACCAAAATACCACTAATTAACCCACATTAGAAAAATGCTTGACAATAAAGACATGTTATAAAATGAGATTCAATTTTGATCGGTGAAATTAGTAAAGATATCAAAGGATAATACTCAGTGCCAAGAAGGATGCATTGAAATGCTGGTTGTAGTATGAATTGATATTATTTTGAAAACCATAATGACAAAAAGATATCAAGGACCCTAAAATGTTTATAGTCCTTCACCCAGTAATTTCACATGGGGTATTATAGTCTAATGAAATAATTCTATACAAGGAAAAAGTTTTATGGATAAAAACATAAATCAAAACGCTATCTACAATCCTAAAACTTTGGAAGTAGGTTAAATGTCTAAAAGTAGGGTCAACCAAATTAAATAATGAACTTTATGGATAAAAGTGTTTCAAAGTGTTATATATAATCCTGAAACTTTGAAAACAATTTAAATGTCTACTAATAGGGTCAACAAAAATAGTTTATTCACTGAAAGAAGTAGTGCTTTCATTAAAGATACATTATAATTTGGTACATAATTGTTTTACTTAATACTCTGTTAAGAGATTGAACAGAACCATAGACAAACATGTACATTTTTCTCCCTTATTTACTTTCTAAATAATTAGCACACATTCTCTTTACATTTAAAAATTATTCAAAACCAATTCAATGGAGAACTTTGTATTTAAAATTATCTTGTGACAAATATTTCCACAAAACAAGGAATCCTCCTGTGGAAGATAGTTTTTATATTATTTTGTATACTGGATGCAGTCAAAACAGGGTATATTTAATATTTATTTTCTTAATACTAGCATTTCTTAGGATTAGCATTTCTTTATAGGAGGTGATGGTTTTCAGATATGAAGTAAAATAACTTTTTTTACTAAAAAAGAAAAATCTGGTGATGTTCATGTTGAGAAAAAAATCACTGACCCATTGGGGCACATGGATAGCTCAGTCAGTTAAGCATCCTACTTCAGCTCAGGTCATGATCTCAGTTTGTGAGTTTGAGCCCCACGTGGGGCTCTGTGCCAACAGCTCAGAACCTGGAGCCTGCTTTGGTTCTGTGTCTCCCTCTCTCTGCCCCTCTCCCACTTGTGCTCTATCTCTCTCTCTCTCTCTCTCAAAAATAAAATAAAAACATTAAAAAAAATCATTGACCCATGGTCACTAGTAGTATGTTGAGGGAGTAGAGAATGCTGGTTAGAGAAATGTTCTCACTAGCTTTGGTTGAACCATCCTGCTTCAGAGAGGGACAGTGGAATCTGCCTCTGCTGTGAGATTTGAAGCATTCCTATTATTTTACCAAATCTCCAAGAGGAATTTTATATTAATATCACTTAGCTGTGATTTTGGTCCTAGTTACTAGACAAAAAGCGGAGAAGAGAAAAGCGGGAAAGAAGGATGGATGCCTGCAATGGCCAAACACTGAGTTAGACTCTTCACATACAACTAATTTTATCCTTATACCATCATTATGAGCTAGGTGTGCTCAATAGCATTTTATAAAAAAGGAAACTGACGCTCAGATAGTTTAAGTAATTTGTCCAAGGTTACATAATTATAGAGTAACAGAGCTGAAATTTGAACTCAACCAAGATTATCTAATGCAAAATCGGTACATTAATGGAATGATGTTTATATTAGGAATGAAAGGGGATGATACCCTCATATGCCTATTTCCAAATCTCTCAGGTTGATTAGATAATCCTTGAACTATACATATTGGCTACTTACATATTTTGGCACAATTTATATATTCGATGGATAAAATATAATTAGAAAACTAAATAATTTACTTTAAATATAATGCATTACTGTAAAGATATATTACAAAAAGTTTCTTATAGCATTTTTGTTTTGGATGTCTGTGCCAATAATTTCTTCCATTAAAAGGAATAACTGAGAGCTAAAGGATTTATGACTAATTACAGCAAAGAGTGACAGGATGTGACTTAAGGGAATTAGGGTGTTTCCAAAATACTAGTTACCAGAGGCATTAGATGTGCATAAAAAGAAAGACGTCGCATTAGGACATATTAACATTTTTGTTTTAATTTTTATTATTATTTATTTTTTTAGAGAGGGAACACAAGTCAGAAAGAGGGGCAGAGGGAGAGAGAGAGAGACAGAATCCTAAGCAGGTTCCACACTTAGTACAAAGCCATATATAGGGCTCGATTCCACGACCCTGGATCATGACCTGAGCTGAAATCAAGAGTTGCACGCTCAGCTGACTGAGCGACCCAGGCACCCCATATTCACATTTTATATAACTACTTCCCCAAATACATGTGCTAAGCCTTTGAGGGTTCTTAGTGTAAAATTCATTATGTTGTGAGGAAATTCTCAAAAAGTTCCATAAAATGAAAGAAAATGCATAATAACGGTCTAAGATATTGTCATTTTGACAACCAAACATGATGTTTAATGTTTTAAAAGAGCTTAGAGTTTTTTTTCCCCCTAGGTTTCTGAAGGTAGTATTTTACATCTTTTTTTGTTGAATACGTATCAAGAATGAATTACAGGGACTCATAGGTGGCTCAGCTCGGTCAGTTGAGCGTCTGACTTCAGCTCAGGTCATGACCTCATGGTTCATGAGTTTGAGCCTCGCATCAGGCTTTGCACAGACAGAATGGTGCCTGATTTGGATTCTTTCTCTCCGTCTATCTCTGCCTTTTCCCTACTGTGCTATCTCTCTCTCAAAAATAACTAAACATTATTTTTTAAAAATTTAAAAGAACAAATTACAGTGTCCTCTTTGGTGTCCTTCTTCCTTTCATTTCTACCTTTTTTGTTTTGTAAGAATCTACCATCTTTCTATTTTGCTTTTTCCCCTTCTTCTGGGCATAGTATCAGAGGCTCATTTTGTGTGTTTTTTAAAATTTTTAATATTTAATTTTTTTAAAAAATTAATGTTTTATTTATTTATTTTAATTTTTAAAAATGTTTTTATTTATTTCTGAGAGAGAGAGAAAGAAAGTGAGCACCGGAGGGTCAGAGAGAGACAGACAGACAGAGAGAATCTGAAGCAAGCTCCAGGCTGTGAGCTGTCAGCACAGAGCCCGATGTAGGGCTCGAATCCACAAACTGTGAGATCATGACCTGAGCCAAAGTTAGTCGCTCAACCGACTGAGCCACCCAGGTGCCCCTATTTAATCTTGAGAGAGAGACACAGAGAGAGAGAGAGAGAGAGAGAGAGAGAGAAAGCAGAAGTGGGGAAGGGGCAGAGAGAGAGGGAGACAGAGAATCAGAAGCAGGCTCCAGGCTCTGAGCTGTCAGCACAGTCTGATGCAGGGCTCGAACCTACAAACCATGAGATCATGACCTGAGCCAAAGTTGGCTGCTTAACCAACTGAGCCACTGAGGCGCTCCCAGAGGCTCATTTTGGAGTATTCAGCTGCTCTCACTCCTCCTGTGACTACCAAGTATTCAATTTCTGGCAGGTGTTTAGAATGATATTGTCAAGTATGCATGATTTCTACAACTTAACTCTGAAATTTCTTTCACCAGAGTCACTCTTACCACCCATCTTTAGTTCCATAAACTTCCCTTGAAGTGGAATATGGTAGGTTCCAGAGCATACCTATGCTGGAAATACTCATTGCCCAGAGGAGAAGAAAGACAACCTGACCTTTTTTCCTGCCTACTCTTGTAAAATTTAAAGCAACAACATTTTAATAAATAGTACATTTTCTAAGTAATTTAAACTTTAAACAAAAAAAACTAACTTGTAAACTTTAGGTGACAATGTTTTTGAACACTCAATTTTTGGTGACAAATCACAGAAAAAGAAAATCATCCTTTTTTTTTGTTTCAACTGTACTTGGAAATCACTTGCTTTTATGGAATTATTTCACACAATTAGTAATGATTAGGCAGTCTTCTATTACATCTGCTTCTAAGCAGAAGTTTCTATATTATAGTTTTTCTATTAAGAATTTTCAAGCAGTCTTCTCTGAGAGCCATTTGTTTTTGTTTTTGAATATTCTTAATAATTTGAGCTAATATAGTCTAACCAAAATGTATATGGATGTCTGCTTTGTGATATTTAAGTAAACATTTTGTTTGTTTTTTCATTTCAGGAAGCAGAAGCTCAGGCAAAGCAGCAAGCATGAACCTTAAGAATTCTGCCTTAAGCATCCTGAAAAAGGAATCTCTATTCCTCTCAAAATTATCTTCAAAAGAAATCAGCTTAATGTTGAGATAATAGATTATTTGGTGTTTTCACATGCAAACAAACAAAATAAATATATAATTAAAATGTGAATATTATGATGAGGAGAATGAGAAGTGAACATAAAAATTTTAGATGTCATGGAATAGTATTGTTATCTGCTAAGGCATTTTATGTACTTCAGTGATTTTAAAAAAGAAAGACCTGTCCCTTTTCTGGTATTTTTATTGCAGCTTTTAAAACATAGAGAGTGAGGGGCACCTCGGTGGCTTAGTCAGTTAAGTGTCAAACCTCAGCTCAGGCCATGATCTCACGGTTCGTGGGTTCGAGGCCTGCATCGGGCTCTGTGCTGACAGCTAACTTAGAGCCTGGACCCTGTTTCAGAATTTGTGTCTCCCTCTCTCTCTGACCCTCCCCTGCTCTGCTGTCTCTCTCAGAAATAAAAAAAATAATAATAAATTTAAAAACAACAACAACAAAAAAAAAGAGGAGTGAAAGAATCTGTCTCTTGTTCCTAAATTGCCTCACTAATTTTAGTTAACAAAAATATGTACCCTTTGTATAACATTATTGTGATTAAAAAACAGTTGCAGGTAATTTTTAAATGTTAGACATTGTAATTTCTTATGGTAATTGTAATATTCACATCATTTTGTAATTGAAACTTTAATGTACTAAACATGTTTTTGAGGCTTCTAAATGTAACCTTTTATTGTTTATTTCAGTGATGAGAACAGATGACTTCCCCCCAAAAAAAACACACAGATACATTCAATTTACAAGTTCCTTGCTTAACTGCACAGCTATGATGGAATTATGTTTCTAAGTTGCTTGCCTCAGTGAATATATATATATATATATATATATATATATATATATATATATGCTATGAAAGTGGGATAGCATGTAAGTTTAAATGGCATTCTTCTGCAAAAAGCTTAGACTTCTAATTAGCTATTATAAAATAGGTTAGCACACTGTGCCCAAGACTGGTTTTCCTTAGGTCTTTGCTAAAAAAATCTTAGTGGTTCACCCTTTTAAAACCATTTGTGGTCATGAATGACACTACCTCTCAGATATTTGACATGTCTGTTTCAGCTTGGGCACATATTGTATGAATATGTTAATCTAAGCAGAGAGAAACTTTTCTATGCTTTTATTAAAGTGAATAGCGCAAGTATCAAAGAGTCAATTTTTAAAATGTTAATTATGAAAACTTCTAAGAAAACAAACACATTATGGCTTAATTACTTACTGAGAAGATATACATATTGTACCTTGGTTCCACACTACTTTATTACTTAAAAAAGAACACCTTTTTCTTTAAATTACTTTATCATATCATTTGATGTATGCAAGTCTGTGCTCTATGTTAAAATCAACATATAATGAAGACATGGCTTTGTTTACTGAGATTCAAACTTAATGCGATGCTTTAAAATAAACTCAGTTCCTTTAGAAACATAATTTATGTGTTCCTGGAGTTTCCAAATAGTATAATAGTAATTTGAGATGAGTAATACATGTTTCAGAAAATGGGAAAAAAGACAAAAAAATAACAGAAAGAAAATGGTTTGAATGCAATTTCTAAATTTCCTTTTTAGGATTCTAAATTTTGCTATATACACTAGAATCAAACAGAATTATTCCATTGTTTTGTCTACCAAAAATATGCCATAGAGAACTCTAGAGAAAACAGGGTGCCTTGTAATTGATTCTGGAAAATGCTAGAAAAATGTTTGGTCAGTATTTTCTCCTGAGTTTTATTAAATGCTGATTGATGAAGTTTTGGGGTGTTGGGGAGTTCATGGGGTCCAGAGCCAATTGCCGGGAAAGAATTCATGAAGATGTCTTTGGTGCAAAAAGCTGATTTTATTAAAGCATGGGGACAGAAACCACTGAGGTCGTGACAGGTAACTTATTATATACCCTCAGGTTGGGAGGGCGTCAGGGATAGAGTAAGTCTCTAAGGAATTTTGGAAGCAAGGTTTCCATGACCTTGAGCGGCTAATGGTTGCTAGGGGAATGCCATTTATTACTGTTTAATAAAACCTCAGTCATGAAACCCTTCATATGGTATATGGGGGGCATAAGCTTGGAGCATGATTGCCAGCATATATCTTGGTACAGTTGAGATAAGGGAAGTAGACTTATAGGATCTTTGAGCTTGGGATAATGTTAAGCTAAGGTTCTCTTGTGCCCTAGTAAAGTGTCATTATCAAGGCAGCTGAGCTCCTAGAGGACAGTCACTCTTCCAGTTTCAAGGACTTGTCTATGGGATGTAGGCAGTAAGGGAATTTAACTTTTCATTTGCCTTAGTTTCCCACATTACCATGTCAAGCACTTAAACCCCTTTCCTTTGTTGCCGGATAGCCGGGAGTGTCAGAGAAATATCACAAATATTCCACTTGGGCGCGGGAGTTGGGGGGAGATCCAATCTGTATTTTGCCCTCAGCTTGCTTCAAGATCTCTCATCACTGATAATATTTCTCTATGTGGACTTTTTTTTATACTTATTCAAAATTATATTTTAATTCATTTGTATTATGAGAAAAGTAGTAGTACCAAATTGTAATATTCTTTTTTTTTTACATATAGTTTATTGTCAAGTTGGTTTCCATATAACACCCAGTGCTCATCCCCAAAGTGCCCTCCTCCATGCCCATCACCCTCCTCCCCCCACACACCCATCAGTCCTCAGTTTGTTCTCACCATTCAAGAGTCTTTCATGGTTTGCCTCTCTCCCTCTCCCCCACTATTTCCCCCCTTCTTCTCCCCTTTGGTCTTCTGTTAAGTTCCTCCTAATCCTCCTATACGTGCAAACATATAGTATTTGTCCTTCTCTGCCTGACTTATTTCGCTCAGCATAACACCCTCAAGGTCCATCCATGTTGCTACACATGGCCAGATTTCATTCTTTCTCATTGCCATGTAGTATTCCATCGTGAAGTTAAACCACAACTTCTTGATCCATTCGACTGTTGATGGACAATTAGGCTCTTTCCATGTTTTGGCAATTGTTGAGAGTTCTGCTATGAACATTGGGATACATGTGCTCCTATGCATCAGCACTCCTGTATCCCTTGGGTAAATTCCTAGCAGTGCTATTGCTGGGTTATGGAGGAGTTCTATTGTTAACTTTTTGAGGAACCTCCACACTGTTTTCCAGAGGGGCTGCACCAGTTTCCATTCCCACCAACAGTGTAGGAGGGGGCCCGTTTCTCGACATCCTCGGCAGCGTCTAGAGTCCTCTGATTTGCTCATTTTAGCCACTCTGACTGGCGTGAGGTGGTATCTCAGTGTGGTTTTGATGTGTATTTCCCTGATGAGGAGGGATGCTGAGCATCGTTTCATGTGTCTGTTGGCCATCTGGATGTCCTCTTTGAAGAAGTGTCTGTTCATATCTTCTGCCCATTTCTTTACTGGGTTGTTTGTTTTTCGGTTGTGGAATTTGGTGAGTTCCTTATAGATTTTGGATATTAACCCTTTATCTGATATGTCATTTACAACTACCTTTTCCCATTCCGTTGGCGGCCTATTAGTTTTATGGATTCTTTCCTTTGCGGTGTAGAAGCTTTTAATCTTGATGAGGTTCCCAACAGTTTATTTTTGCTCTTGATTCTTTTGCTTTTGGGGATGTGTCAAGTAAGAAATTGCTGCGGTGAAGGTCAGGGAGTTTGCTTCCTGCTTTCTCCTCTAGGGTTTCCTGTCTCACGTTCAGGTCCTTTATCCATTTTGAGTTTATTTTTGTGTATGGTGTGAGAAAATGATCTAGTTTCATTCTTTTGCATGTTGCTGTCCAGTTCTCCCAGTACCATCTGTTAAAGAGGCTGTTTTTTTCCATTGGATACTCTTTCCTGCTTTGTCAAAGATTAGTTGGCTGTATATTTTTGGGTTCACTGCTGAGTTCTCAATGCTGTTCCATTGGTCTATGTGTCCGTTTTTGTGCCAATACCATACTGTCTTGATGATGACAGCTTTGTAGTAGAAGCTAAAGTCTGGGATGGTGATACCTCCCGTTTTGGTTTTATTCTTTAGTATTACTTTGGCTATCCGGGGTCTTTTGTGGTTCCACACAAATTTGAGGATAGTTTGTTCTAGTTTTCTAATTTTGAGAGGTATGCTGATGCAATTTTGATTGGAATTGCATTGAATGTGTAGATTGCTTTGGGTCATAATGACATTTTAACTATATTTATTCTTCCTATCCACGAGCATGGAATGTTTTTCCATTTCTTTGTGTCTTCCTCGGTTTCCTTCATAACTTTACTATAGTTTTCATCATACAGATCTCTTATATCCTTCGTTAGGTTTATTCCTAGGTACTTTATGGTTTTTGTGCAATTGGGAATGGGATCAGTTTCTTGATTTCTCTTTCTGTTGCTTCATTGTTGGTGTAAAAAAGTGCAACCGATTTCTGTACGTGGATTTTGTACCCTGCAACTTGGCTGAATTCTTGTATCAGTTCTAGTAGGCTTCTGGTGGAGTCTGTCGGGTTTTCGATGCAGAGTATCATGTCATCTGTTAAGAGTGAAAGTTTGACTTCTTCTTTGCCAATTCTGATGCCTTTGATTTCCTTTTGTTGTCTGATGGCTGATGCTAGGACTTCCAGCACTATGTTAAACAGCAGTGGTGAGAGTGGACATCCCTGTCGTGTTCCTGATCTCAGGGGGGAAAGCTCTCAGCTTTTCCCCGTTGAGGATGATGTTATCTGAAGACTTCTCATAGATGGCTTTCATGATGTTTAAGTACATTCCTTCTATCCCGACTTTCTCGAGGGTCTTATTAAGAAGGGATGCTGTATTTTGTCAAATGCTTTTTCTGCATCTATTGACAGAGTCATATGGTTTTTATCCTTTCTTTTGTTGATGTGATGTATCACATTGATTGATTTGCGAATGTTGAACCAGCCCTGTAAACCAGGAATGAATCCCACTTAATCTTGTGGATAATTCTTTTTATGTGCTGTGATTCGATTTGCAAGTATCTTGTTGAGGATTATTGCATCCGTATTCATCAAGGATATTGGCCTGTAGTTCTCTTTTTCTCCTGTGTCTCTGTCTGGCTTGGAAATCAGAGTGATGCTTGCTTCATTAAATGATTCTGGAAGTTTTCCTTTCATTTCTATTTTCTGGAATAGCTTGAGAAGAATTGGTATTAATTCTGTTTTAAATGTCTCGTAGAATTCCCCAGGGAAGCCATCAGGTCCAGCGCTTTTATTTGTTGGGAGATTTTTGATACCT